AGAAAATATGCAAAGTGATTTTTTTTTTCAGTTTTCTAGATGAAGTCACTCATTTTACAGATAAAATTGGGGCTCCAAAAGTTACTAACTAACTTGTATTTCTGACACATAATTTTTGAACGTTAAACCAATAGCAGTATTACCATTTTTTAAGTTCTTCATCTAATGTTATATTCTATCATGCCTCGAAGTTTGAGTAATTGTTATAGTGAAGCATTTAGTGGCTCAGAGGAGAGATAGGGATTCACGTACTTGATGGTGAGGGATTCATTGGTAATCCTTTCATTTTAAAGCTAGGGCCCTAGTCCCATTTAAATGGGTACACACTGACTGTTCAAGGAATGCACTCATAGGAAGGGTTAACTTAAGATAGTGTTCATGTATATATGTATAGATACTTTACTGTTAGAAACCTGTGCTAATACAGTGTGTTCAATTTTCTTTTTAGACTACCAAAAGGAAGCGTGGCTACATTAAGAATAAGCTAGTTTTTAAGAAAGGCAAGAAAATATCTAAGAAGACTGTTTAAACGCACTGTTCTGGTTCCTGACTTGAAGCAGTTGTCCTTGTGAGAACCGGTCTTGCCTTTAGCTCATGTCATGTTTCACAGCAACAGAGGGTACAGAACTATCACTGGTCCAGGTTAATGTACACAGTTTTCCAGTAATGCCTGATTTTAAAAAAATAAAATTGGTTTATTGAGAAGAACTGTTTTCGATTTGTAATGTGAAGCAAGACAGAGCACTGCTGCAAATGTCTAGCAGCGGATTTTTTTTATTGGTACATATTATCCTTTAAATCTGAAAATTTGGACTAATTGCACCAAAGAACCTTCTGATTTGGTCCCTTGCACATGCATACTTGTCAATGTTTTTATTCTTTTACAAGACCTGCATTTTATTTCAATTACCTACATAGCAATATGTAAAATACAAATGACAAAAACTGATGAGAGCTTCTTGAACAGTAAACCAGTACAGGTCTGAGAAAAAGGTATTAGAAAAGAAATTATACTTCCTTGAAATATATTTATTTTCATGTTTCTCTAGTACAAAGAATGTTTCATCAAATGGACATTATCTGTCTCATATGTTAGCTGTAAGAAGCTGCTGTTTCAAATATGGACCTCTTGAGTAGCTAAATGATTGAAATAGTTTTATGTTGTTATAGTGTAACTGCTTTTAGCAGTTGTTTTCACAGGTATTTATAGAGCACATTTCATACATTGTTCATTCAAGGGCTAAATTTCTATCCTTTGGAAATCATGGCAACTGCACAGAATGTTGCTTACCAGCAAGGGGTTTGGTCCTTCAGTACTGAGGTTGGGACTGTGTTTACATGCAAAAGTTAAAGGAAAAACCCCTTAGGTATCCAAATTCATTTTCTGTGACTCCTCAGAATGACAAAGGATTTGTAAACTTTGCCTGGATTTTTTTCACTTTGTAATAGTTTTATTCATCATAATAATTTTGTTCTCTGCTCTATATTCTAATACCTTAACCATTTGATGAAACACTCTTTAGTGCTTATATACATTTTCTTTTATTAAAAATGTGACAGTTGTCAAAAATGCACTAAAATAATAAATGGAAATTGAACATGTTCATTTTCCAGCTTATAGGCAACTTTATACAGACTTGAAAATTTTTTCCAGGTTAGTAAAAGTGAGAGGGTTTTCAATCCTGCCACAGAATATGGATATAACTTTTTTTTTTAAATAATGTAACACACCACTGCTTTTGGTGGAAAAGTATAGACTAGTATGTACCTTTTATGAAGAAAAATGAAATTTACAATGTTCAGTGAGAATGTTACTGCTGATTTTCTTTTTCAAGGTGTAGAATATTCTTTGATTTATAGAATTCATTTTTGACCCAGATGATGGTTCTTTTACAGACCAATAAAATGGCTAAACATTTTTTCACAAAATATAACTAAATCTGGATTTCTGATACCTTGTCATTTGGGGGATTTTATTTTACTTTGTTGCTTTAAAATTTAATGCAGAGAAGTTGTTGACTGTAGGGGAAATAAAGTTAATTCAACTTTTGTGTTAAGTGTTGTCATTGTACATTTTTGTTTTCAAAAAGAAGTTATGGAGTACTGATCACATACTTTTTTCCTACTTAAATTTCATGAAAGTTTTACACAATGTGTGGAAAAAGTAAATGTTTTGCCTTCCTTTTACTCCAGAATGAAAATCTTACTTTGGTTTTTCTTTTGAGGTAGAGAAAAGATAAAGATAGAAATCTAGCAAATCCCTGCTCTGTAGATTTCTGTTATGTCATCAGTCAAGTGTTCAGTGTAGAATTTTAATTATACACAGGAAAGACCCCCTTGCTTTCTTGGTTTTAAAACAATATTCTGGTTCACTATCTCTTATTAGCAAAATGTTATATTGTAATATAATAACTTGTTATTTTATAAAATAGAAAATGAAAATATAGAGTAGTTTGACTCTATAGGCATAAATAGGTACAGCGAAAACTTGGGAGTAA